GATCCTGATGAGTATAATGAGTCCAAAGGAGTCGGTTACAAACAAACAAACAATCGAACTTGCAAGTGAAGCTAATATAAGCGTGTTAAAAACACATTTTCGTATTCAGTTTGTATTCCAAACATTTGTTATAGAATTGAATCAGATATCATTCACAGGATTCCTACACAATATAGTAAATGAAAGAGGTAACATTTCACTTAATGAAACAGTGTCATCCTCACTGGTAGACATCCGATGTTTTGTCGTAAGAAACTTGACTTATCAGCTCTTCAGTGCCAAATCTGGACAACATTATAGAAAAAAACACTCAATTAATTCATAAAATTACGATTTTATGTTTGATTTTCTCATGTCATCGATGAGAGTACATAATGACATTCAATCGCCATAGGAACTTTGTTCAAATTGAATGGGGTATATTTTTAGGAGACATTAATGTTTTAGGAGAGAAAGGTTTTGGGTTTCTACTTCTCTATCTTCCCAAACATTCCCAAGATCCCCAAACAAATTTGGGAATCTTCCAAAGAAAGGAAGGAAGCAAGCAATTAATTTTAAAAAAGGTAACTCTATACAACGTTTGTGACTGAAAGTTACTTCTTTGCATGATCTACACATATTTGTATAGAGTTACCTTTTTTGGAATTGATTGCTTCCTCCCTTTCTTTGGAAGATTTCCACATTTTTTGTATCAAGATGGAAAAGTAGAAAGCCAAAACCTTTTTTCACCAGAACATCAATCTTTCCTAAAAATATACCTCTTTCAATTATAAAATATTGTTGATTGAAACTGATATTCCCAACAATGAAACAAATGACTGAACCAAAAACACTTTTTTGTGGATTTTCCACTCAACAGGTTCGTTTTTTGCAAATATCCCAAAACTATTGCAGATATCCAGATTAAAAAAAACATTTTAAAGAACAGTAACTAAAGAAAAGTTTGACCTCTCGCAACTATAACCCCAATAATTGAAGTTTTATTTGAGTAGTAGGAATGACCTCCTTTTTATTAATTGTTATTTCAAAATAGTGGTAACAGCATCTCTCATTCTTTTTTTAATATCCAAAGCTTAAAAAAATCTGTTTAAAATCTGTTTTTCCCCTAAAGCTGTCGCCCCCATACGAACGACAACTCTCAGAAGTTGAGAAACTTGTGCGTTTTAACGTGTGATTCCCAACACGGTTGCAGAATCCTCCCAGCTTCAACCAGATAAATTCTCTCGAAAAAAAACCATATGGTCGAGACGGGAATCGAACCCACGGCCTTTCGATCGTGAGTCGGGCGCACTACCACCGCTGCCAATTCCACACCGTGTTTTTTCCACACCATTGATGAATATCCAGCTAGTTCTCCAAATTGTCCAGTAATACTCAGTTTGGTTTTGAGAAAATTCATGTTGTGGAACATACATACACCACCGAATTGTCCATGTTGAGGGTAGCTTAGACCAAACGTTGCATTCGTGAATCCCAAGTTCCGCTGGCGAGGTTACCGCCAGCACTGGTATCATCTAATTTACAGCTTACAGTGAAAGCTTCAGAGAAACAGTCGATGGTCAATATTCATTTTCATGGTCGGTCGGTAGCCAAGCGGTTCGGCGTGGGTGTTTTGTTCACTCACTCGAATTGACTGCCGTGTTGGTCGGTGGTTCAAGCCCTAGTCTGAAAGATAAATCTTCCCTTGCTATCGTCCAACCCGTGTTAGGAATCACACGTTAAAAGGTAAGACCTCGTTAATCCTTAGCTCGCACAAGTTTCGACTTCTGAGGGTTGTCGTTCGTAGGGGTGCGACAGCTGGTTAACGGAAAAACATATTTAAACAGATTTCTTAAACAGACCGCTGGGGATTCTTGTCCATTTCTGTCAACCACACATATGGCATTCTGTGGGAGGAGTCTTATTTCTTGATGAAAGTGAAATATGATTACACCTCCTTGATCTTCATCTCAGTTTCACAACTTTCAATTTCGATTTCAAAATAGGTAAGTACCTATCTACCCAAAAAGACAACACGAAACAAAAATACGAGCCTAACCTTTCAAGTGATTCACTACGTAAAAATAAACCACTGCACTTGCAACCTTTCTTTATCACGCGTGTCGCCTCAGTTTGTGAGGCCGCTTGAATTTATTTCCTCTCGCGATACTTTCAATCTTGTGATAACTTCTAAGACATTAATTTGAATTCTATGGTGTGAAGAACAGTTACAATGTGCATGAAATGCTTAAGGTGACTACTACCATTTTTTAACATTGAAATAAGTGTAGAGTGCAAAGGAATTAGGTAGTGTTTTTGATGATTTTTGATGAAAACTGCCGGCTCCGCACGGGTAGCACCTCCACCTGGACTCCGCACGGGCAATATCGGTATGTTTCACACCAATCCACACAAAACAATAATGAATTATATACATGAACCATACTTCTGAATCACTCCGTCCATTAGTGAAAACCGTATGGAAATCCGTTCGGTAATTTTTATGTTTATCACGTTCAGACAGACAGATGCGGCGGGTGCACTTTATAATATGTATAAGTTTAATTTAAAAATCTACGAAACAAAGCAAATCACTCTGTATATAGCGATATATCAAAAATTTCACCATTCCATTTTGTCATCAAAAACCTACTTTCTTGCCACTTCAATTCTACCCTGAGAATTAATATAGAATAAGAAACGAATTCTGAATGCATTCG